CCGGAACCCCCATGTGGGCCACAGCAATGCGTGGCAGGGGACGGCTACTAATGTATAAAAAAACCACAAACAAAGTTTTTAAAAACCTTGGTATTATGGTAAATGTCCTTTGACCAGAAGCTGGCCACTTGGAGTGCCTCTTGTTGCACCTCGGCAAGAGTTCACCTTGTTCAAAGCACTCACCAGGAAACCAGATGTGGTAATAAACAGCTTATTGATAAAACACATAGAAGAAAGGGCCAAAGGCTCCTTAAGCAAATAATAGAGTAAAAATCCAAGTGTACATATAGAAAGCAAATCCAATAGGCAAATGGTAAATCTAAAAACAAGAGTTAAAACTTGGAACATTTATCCAGAGAACAAGGATCAAAACAAGAGCACGAATCCATAGGTAAATCTGCAAAGCAGGAAGCAAAACTTGATTAGGAATGGCCTTGAGCTTACAACATGACCCAGGAACAACACGAGAGTTTGCCACTCTTGTAGTGACGTTGCTTCATCTGAAATCCCAACAGCTGTTAAAGCTCAGCCTGTGATTGTGTTTCAGGATCAGGGTGCTTTGAATGTGGGAAGTGATGTTAATGAGTTTCAAGATGAGTTTCAAGATGGCAGTGGTTTGGTCAGTGATATTGATACAGAGAACTAGGAGATCCCTGTTCAAAGTGTAGTTTCCCATGAGAATGTCCCTGAGGGGTGTGGGGATGATGGCGTGCTTTCTGAATTGTTACCAGAGAGTTCCCATGATAGGGAACATGAAAACAGCTCGGCATCTAGCCCAGCTGCAGAAGTTAATGAGCAAATAGATAGATGCGAGAAGATCAGTCAAAACAGGAGAGCCGAACAGTGGCTTCGGCATCCTGTCATGCTCTGAGAGAAAAAGATAACAAATTCTCAGCTTAAGCGAAACCAATTTCTGAGTGCTAGAGACATAGCTAATGAGGAGATAAAAGTCCCAAGTACAGGATATGTAGTGAGATGAAGCATCGTTTGGAATCAAGTCAAGATCTCGTCCTTGTTTCATGGAAGCTTTACTTGGAAAATTCATGTTTTAAGTGCCTTTGTTTCATGGTTTTGATTCTTGGATTCTATGCTTTTATATTCATGCCTTGGATTCATGTTTCCTCATTTCTTGCATTTTATTTTGGAAGTTTCGACTTTGTTTTTGTGGACTTTGCTGGACATTTACCCTGGACTACTTTGCTTCTGCTTTTCTTCCTACATAATTGGATTTAACAGTTTCATTGCTTTTTAATTATCTTTATTGATTTTTAATTATCTTCAATAAAAGGATTGTTTTTCCATCCAACGGTGTGGTGTTTAAAGTCAGAGGGCCTTTCCTGTCCGAGAGTTGCAACAACAGCTCTCTATCTCGTTTAAAGGCATAAACTCATTCCATGGACCTTGAGAGAAATGCTTCTGCCTCTCCTTCCCATGGCTTTGCTTGCACCTGAATTTCTTTCCCCAGAGGAGCAACCTGGTATCTCTCTCTAAGCCAGCTGCTTCTTCGGATGAGCTTATGGTATCCTCCCTTCCCTGCCTGTCAGCTTCCAAATCAGTTTCATTCCCTCATTCAGAAACAACATCTTGTTCCAACACCCCCTCCGTTCTCCCAACTGGAGAACCATCTTGCTCCAACACCCCTTCTGTCTGGGCACCCACAGAACCATCAGGCCCTGCACCCCCAAACCCCTCATCATCATCAGCTTGCTGAATTACAACACCTCTAGTGTCGCTGTGAGAAGGTCCTCCACTGTTCCTGTGGCAGGGATCAGATTGCATTGTAGTAAGTGGTCTATGGTTTGCTCTTCTCCACACTTGCATGTCATGGACTCCACTTTGAAGCCCCATTTCTGAAGACTCATGGTGCCAGAGTGCAGTCTGTGTGTCCAGGAGGGGGTTTCTCACCTGGTCTCAGCCACTGATTGAGGTTCTGGTTTTCAGCTGCCACTTGCTTGCTGAGGTGTTCCTGTTAGTATCTCTGTAGACCAGTGTTTCCCAACCTTTGGTCCTCCAGTTGTTTTGGAATTCAACTCCCATAAAGCCAGGCCAGCTTACCAGCCTTTAGGAATTGTGAGAGCTGAAGTCCAAAACACCTGGAGGACCAAAGATTGGGAATGACTGCTGTAGATCTTAAGAAGCTATTTCTTGATTTAAGACGTTGGCTTGCTGGCTGATATCTGAACAGAGGATGGGCCGAAGATGTCACTGCCTTGATCCTTTAATTACAGGCTGCTACTTCCTGATGGATGTCAGGTGGTGCGATATCGGTGAAACTGTGTAATTTCTCCAGTGGTGTAGGCCGTAGACATCTTGTGATAATGCAGCATATCTCATGAAGAGCCACATCCACTGTTTTAACATGGTGAGATGTTTTCCACACTGGGCAGGTGTATTCAGCAGCAGAGTAGCAAAGCACAAGGGCAGACGTCTTCGCTGTGTCTGGTTGTGATCCCCAGGTTGTGCCAGTCAGCTTTCGTATGATATTGTTTCTAGCACCCTCTTTTTGCTTGACATTCAAGCAGTTCTTCTTATAAGTCAGAGCATGGTCCAGGTATTTGGGTGTGCTGCAATTCTCCAGTGGGATTCCTTCCCAGGTAATCCTCAGAGCTCGAGATGCTTGTCTGTTCTTAAGTTGAAAAGCACACATCTGCATTTTATATGGATTAGGAATCAACTGGTTTTCTTGGGTAAGAATGATTTAAATTCAATACATGTATCATTGATTTATTTATATACTCTGTGGTGCTTTGTACATGGGCAGTTATCTGGAGCCTGTTTGGAAGCCACCCCCATCCTCCGTATGTCTAAGTTTCTGTAGGCTGCATGTAACATTAAAAAAGAAGTGGTAGAAGACCATTTTCAGTCTGTTAAAGGTGCATATTCCCCAAAACGACATTTAAATGGAGCCTCCTGTCCCCTTCAGGCCTCTGGAGGAGTGTTTATTGACTTTCTTTGTATGGAGGTGAAAATGGGAAGGAGTTTGAAGGACTTGTTGAGTTATATGGAATAGCATCTGAGCTGCACAATTCCCTCTCCTTGTGCTTGGACTTGAGCTGATGGTCATATCCAGAGCATCGTGTTCCTTTGTTTTGAATCTTGGACTGGGATGACTTGACTGTGGCAAGCCAGCACAAGAGAAGCATGGACCACTGTCTGCTAGTTTACGAAGGAGAAAAGGCTTCACACTTTGGATGGGGGCAAACCAGGAGAAGGTATCCAACCAATTGTGCCTCTCTTTGCCTTCAAGCTCTGGCTTCTTTTGACCACTTGGGAGGCCCTTTGCTGCCTTCCTGTGGCCAGAGCGGCAACCTTGGTGTTGCTCAGCTGAAGCTCTTCTTGGATCACATTTAAGGAAGGCACCTGAGGTCAGTCAACACACTGGAAACCAGATCTTCCCTCTGGGTTGTTGTAGGTTTTTTTCGGGCTATATGGCCATGTTCTAGAGGCATTTTCTCCTGACGTTTCACCTGCATCTATGGCAAGCATCCTCAGAGGTAGTGAGGTCTGTTGGAACTAGGAAAAAGGGTTTACATATCTGTGGAATGATCAGGGTGGGACAAAGGACTTGTCTGCTGGAGCTAGGTGTGAATGTTTCAACTGACCACCTTGATTAGCATTTGATTGCCTGGGAGTGCCTGGAGCAATATTTTGTTGAGAGGTGATTAGGTCTTCCCTCTCTTATGAGCAGGATGCACAAACCCACTTTCCCCAAGGTTGCATTGCCTGTGCCATATGGCATCAGAATATGATTCTGTTTTCTCCTGGAGTAGCTTTGGATCAGTGCTGTCCCTCATGTAGTATCTCTATTGTTTGGTCAATTCTGCAGAACTTTAAAATCCCACCTTTTGAATGAAGAGATGGGTCAACTCCAGTCTTCCAGAAGGGTTTGGACTATAACTCCCAATGTGTTAGGGAATGTTGGGAGAGGTAGTCCAATATCATCCAGAGCAGCGGTTCTCAACCTTGCTAATGCCATGACCCCTTAATGCAGTTCCATATGTTGTGGTGACTCCCAACCATAATATTGTTTTCGTTGCTACTTGATACCTGTCATTTTAGTACTGTTATAAATCATAATGTAAATATCTGATATGCAGGATGTATTTTCATTCACTGGACTAAATTGAGCACAAATACCCAATATGCCCAAATGTGAATGCTAGTGGGGTTGGGGGGAGGATTGATTTTGTAATTTGGGAGTTGTAGTTGCTGGGATTTATAGTTCACGTATAATCAAAGAGCATTCTGAACTCCACCAGCGATGGATTTGAACCAAACTTGGCACACAGAACTCCCATGACCAACAGAAAACACTGGAAGGGTTTGGTGGGCATTGACCTTGAGTTTGGGAGTTGTAGTTCACCTATATCCAGAGGAGCACTGTGGATTCATGCAATGATGGATCTGGACCAAACTTGGCACGAATACTCAGTATGCCAAATGTGAACACTGGTGGAGTCTGGGGAAAATAGACCTTGACATTTGGGAGTTGTAGTTGTTGGGATTTATAGTTCACCTACAATCAAAGAGCATTCTGAACTCGAACAACAATATAATTGGGTCAAACATCCCACACAGAATCCCAATGACCACCAGAAAATACTATGTTTTCTGATGGTCTTTGGCGACCCCTTTGACACCCTCTCACGACCCCCTCAGGGGTCCCAACCCCCGGATTGAGAAACACTGATCCAGAGGGTTGCTCTTTGGCCACCCTGTTTCAATATCCTTAAGGTCCCTTTTGGGTCTTGGAAGCTCACCAGTGCCAGGTTGGTTACATTTGGATGAGGGAATGCCAAAAAATACCAGGTACGATAATTATGTTCAAAGGAAAGCAACTGTGAACCATCATCAGAGAGTATTTTGTGCCTAGGGTCAAACCTGAAGAACCCATGGGGTCATCGTAATTTGACAGGCAACTTGAAAGTATAAAGCACACACATGAAAGTTGGTCCTTTTTGAGATCTAATTCTAGTTCTTCTCTCTCTCTCTTTTTGAAGGGGTCCTTGAGAATAAATCCCAAGAAGTACCACGAAGCCTTCATTCCGTCTCCAGTAAGTAATGCATAATTCTGCAAAGCCGGCAATTGCTGCACAAGTGTTAAGTGTCCTTTTGGCTGGACGGGGTATCAAGGAAAGAAAAGCCAAGTTAGGGACAGAACATGACAAAACTGTTTGGATGTGGTCCATCAAGCCTCCCTCTTACGCAGCCTCTGATCTATGCAGAAACGTCACTGAAACGAATGCGTGCAACTGGTCCAGCAGTAGTTCTCGCGCAGAGGGCTCTCTGAACTTCTAGAAGTGGTGCTTGCTCTGACTCTTGAAGCCAGCTGAGTCCAGATGGAAGACCACCAGTTAGGTGTAAAACAAAGGTTTAGGAATATAATTGCAGATGGCTTACCGATTACATCCTCCATTCCTCAAATTGAGCTCCCCAAAACGAATGTCAGGTCTCTGCTCTGGCTTTGCTATATGAGCTCATGTGTAAACTTGGATCTCAGGGGCCAGCATGTGCTGCATTGTGGAATGCCCATTTTGGAATACCAAATCATGCAGCATCAATTTAACCTCTATCCATTGGGCCTTGTCTGTGTCTCTTTCCTTTTTTTAACGTGCACTGAAATTTTTAGGTAGAAGGTGGAATATAATCATCATAATGGGAATTCGAATTCAGGACCTTTTGTGGCATGTAGACTGTGCATTATCCCGGCCTCATCTTGAAACTTCCCCAAACTCTCAGAATTGGGTAAAAAATTGTAAAACCTACATTGGAAAACACTGATTCCTCCAAAGCCTGAGGTTGGGAGGGAAGGATCAAACTTTTTTGGGGGGGTGGGGGCATGACATAAACATTAAAATGAGATTTGTTCAACTTTAAACACCCCCTTGCATTTTTTTGAGGATGGGTTTGTGCATTAAATGTTCTTTTAAATGCTTTAAATGTTTCTTTAAATGCTGCGCCTGTACCTTGGGAAGTCTGACTTGGCCACGGTAGTCCACGCTCTGGTTACATCCCATTTAGACTACTGCAATGCTCTCTACGTGGGGTTGCCTTTGAAGACAGCTCGGAAGCTCCAACTAGTCCAACGCTCGGCAGCCATGATTTTAACAGGAGCGGAGCGCAGGGAGCATACAACCCCCTGTTGCGCCAACTCCACTGGCTACCGATCTGCTACCGGGCTGAATTCAAAGTGCTGGCGTTGGCCTTTAAAGCCCTAAACGGTTCCGGCCCAAGCTACCTATCTGACCGCATCTCTGCCTATGAACCCCCCAGGACTTTGAGATCTTCCGGGGAGGCCCTGCTCTCGATCCCGCCTGCTTCTCAAGCTCGGCTGGCGGGGACGAGAGATAGGGCCTTCTCGGTGGTGGCTCCTCGGCTGTGGAACGCCCTTCCTACGGACATTAGACTAGCACCATCTCTAATGGTATTCTGCAAAAAAGTGAAGACCTGGCTGTTTGAGCAGGCGTTCGAATAATTAATGCAATGATTGGTTAATGAACACTGGAATGGAACAATGGATGATGAATCTGGAACATGTTTTTGATGACGAGACGACAGTGAATGGGTATTGTAGTAACTGTTTATTAATTGTGTAATGTGTTAGGTTGTTAACTGTTTCTATACTGTAGCACTGAATTTTTGCTGTTCGTATTTGTTGTGAACCGCTGTGAGTCGCCTTCGGGCTGAGAACAGCGGTATATAAGTAAGGTAAATAAATAATAAATAAATAGAGCCTACTTCTCTATTTTCATGCAGTATAGATGCCTGTATGTATTTCAGGGCCATAGGGTACTTACTGTAATGGGTGTAGATGTTGTTGGGTGAAGGCAAACAGTGCACCAAGCTGTGCAGATATTGTCATGTGGGCAAATTGTATGGTCACCTGTAGACAATCAGTTGCAGGACCCAAACTTGTGCTCATCCAGTTAAATGATCTTAGTCCAGTGGTTCTCAACCTGTGGGTCCCCAGGTGTTTTGGCCTACAACTCCCAGAAATCCAAGCCTGTTTACCATGTTTGGGAGTTGAAGGCCAAAACATCTGGGGACCCACAGATAGAGAACCACTGTCCTACTCAGAATGTGAGAAAACAATCTTTTGGGAGACGATAGCTTCCAGAATACTCCTCTGACCATCTATGTGAAGGTTGCAACCTCCAAAAAAAAAACGTTTCCAGCATCTCTTCCTAGGTGAACGTTGATAAGATTATAGCTTTTTACTGGCCCCATTTAGGGAACCATGTCTTTTTAATTTGTTAAGACATCATTCATTTATGGGTTGTAGGTTTTTCGGGCTGTATGGCCATGTTCTAGAACAGGGATTCTCAAACTTTTTAAACAGAGGGCCAGGTCACAGTCCCTCAAACTGTTGGAGGGCCGGATTATAATTTGAAAAAAAACAACAACCATGAATGAAATCCCTAATGCACACTGCACATATCTTATTTGTAGTGCAAAAGAAACTTAAAAACAATACAATAATTAAAATGAAGAACAATTTTAACAAATATAAACTTATTAGCATTTCAATGAGAAGTATGGGCCTAGTTTTGGCTAATGAGATAGAATTGTTGTTGTTGTTGTTGTTGTTGTTGTTGTGTGCTTTCAAGTCATTTCAGACTTAGGTTGACCCTGAGCGAAGGCCGGGTAAATGACCTTGGAGGGTCGCATCCGGCCCCCCGGCCTTAGTTTGAGGACCCCTGTCCTAGAAGCATTCTCTCCTGCTTCCCGAACATGGCCATATAGCCCGAAAAACCTACAACAACCCAGTGATTCCAGCCATGAAAGCCTTTGACAATACATCAATACACTGGACTAGGATCATTTAACTGGATGACCCTGAAAAATCATTCATTTATGACAGGAGTGGTCAAAATGTGGCCAAAGAGATGTCTTTGTGGCCCTCACACTCTCCAAGGATAATGCCTCCAGATATCCTCTAGTGCAGTGGTTCTCAACCTGGGGTCCCCAGATGTTTTTGGTCTTCAACTCCCAGAAATCCTAACAGCTGGTCAACTGACTGGGATTTCTGGGAGTTGTAGGCCAAAAACATCTGGGGGCCCCAGGTTGAGAACCACTGCTCTAGTGTACATGGGGTTATTTCCTCTTTCTCTCTCTGGACCGTTTTCGACCTGTTGCTAGAATGGGTTTGGGAGCATTTGGGGACAATTGCAAGTTTTTTGAAGATGTGGATGGACATGACTCTTCAAGATTTCTTGGAGGGCTAATGCCACCTCTTGACCTTCCAGAGCTGTCCAATACATATGAACTGAAAATGTCAAATGCAGAGGGAGAATTTCCTGGTAGGATAAGGAAAACAGACAGCAGGATGTGGCAAATAAATGCTCATTGCTCTTTCCTGGCCTGACCTGCTTCATCCACGGGGGTTCAACAGTGCCAGGGCGATGACTGAAGTGAGAAGGCCTTTCTCTTGAATGATGCAACAGATTTTCAAAGTATGCAGTGGGATTACTTCAGGAGCTGAGGGCAAAGCTGGTGGCGGTGGGGGGAGTAGATGGGGGAAGCGAAAATCTGGACTCATCAGAAGAACAGCTTTCCCGGCTGAATTATGTTAGTCCAAGAAGCTTTGCAATTTTTCTGCATCTTGTCATGGGAGGCAGCCTTTGCACAGCTGTTGAGCTGCTGCGGGGAGAGTGACTTTGCCTGCTGTGGAATGGCCTGAGTTTCACATCAGGGCAGCCACTTTTTCTGTCTTTCGGTGAAAGTGTGCCAATATCGGGGCAGAAGAGAAGATGCAACAATGACGGCAGTTGTGCACCTTGCCGAGCGATAATTTATTAAGGCAGGATCCTCTTTTCTCATCTCAGTGGTTGCAGGGGAAATGGCAGTTCTCCCAGCAGTGTCTTGCTTTCTCATTACCCACCTAGGCTATTAGTTGCTCTTTGGAGTACAGTGTTTTGTCATGAGTGCCTATTGACTGGTCTTCTGGCATCACCAAAAGGAGCATGGCAGGGCTCCCTCTGTGCCCTTGCAAGGTATGCTTTAATTAGCGCCTGTGACAATGACCTTTGAGTTCTCCTTCATAGAAAACACTAAATTTTATCCTTTTATGAGAACTGCTTTTTGGGCCACCAGTCAGTTTGAGGATTGTGTATGAACTAGTGTGGTATAGATCATCGAAGCTGTTTCGGGTCGTGGGGGAACTCCTCCACCCACCTGTGGTGGAGGAGGTCACTGATGACCCTGCAGCTCGGTGTCGCGATTTCGCACACCATTTTGCAGGTAAAGTCGCCCAGATACGTTTTGAGCTCGACTCCAGTTCCATCGCAGTGCCAGAAGAGGTGACGGAGGCATCTGCTTGTCCAATCTTGTGGGATTCTTTTAGGCTTGTTCCTCCTGAAACCGTAGAGGAGATTCTTGGGGCTGTGAGAGCGACCACCTCCTCTCTGGACCCATGCCCATCTTGGCTCATTAAATCAGCCAGAGGGGGGTTGCTTGACTGGTTTGTACTGATTATCAATGCATCGCTGGAGCAAGGAATTTTTCCATCTAACTTGAAGCAGGCCGTGGTTCGCCCACTCCTCAAAAAGCTTCCCTTGACTCCACGGTGCTGAGTAACTACAGACCGATCTCTAACCTCCCCTTTCTGGGCAAGGTGCTGGAGCGGGTGGTCGCCTCCCAGCTCCAGAGTTTCCTGGACGATACTAACTACCTAGATCAGTCACAGTCTGGTTTCAGGCCTGGTCATGGCACTGAGACAGCTTTGGTCGCCTTGGTGGATGACCTCCGCAGAGAGCTGGACAGGGGGAGTGTGACTCTGCTGGTTCTCTTGGACATCTCAGCGGCTTTCGATACCATCGATCATGGTATCCTTCTGGGTCGTCTCTCCGGGATGGGCCTTGGGGGCACGGTTTTGTCGTGGCTCCAGTCCTTCCTGGAGGGACGAACTCAGATGGTGAAGCTGGGAGACGCCTGCTCGGACCCCTGGCCTTTGACCTGTGGGGTCCCGCAAGGCTCTATTTTGTCACCCATGCTTTTTAACATCTACATGAAACCGCTGGGAGAGGTCATCCGGAGTTTTGGAGTTGGGTGCCAT